GCGCCGCAAGCAGTCGGAATTCCAAGCGGCATGCCAGGAGCATGCGGGTGAGAACAGGCAATCAGCCGTGATTGACTTACACCGACGGTGTGGATCACGACCTGCTGGTAACAGTCACACGAAACCAGATTGAACCAATGAGGGCATTCGACACCGCTTACCCTTCAACAAGATGCAGGGACCCGCTCTTCACAAAGCAACCGCCATGGAAAGCATGGCAACGTTGCTAGCGTCCTGGAAGGACGCCGGGAGATGGCAATGAGAGCCTCGGACATGAAGAGTCTGAAGGATAGGGTTTAAGGTTTAGGGTTTAGGGTTTAGGGTTTAGGAAGACTCGTATCTTGATCCAGATACAACCTCTGCTCCGGGTCAACTACCAACCCGACACCGACCGGGACGCCAGCTGCCGCTGCTACAGTTGGGTGGCCCTATGTACCTACGGTTGATGATATACATCCTGCATTACCCATAATAAGGACTATACCATAATTCCCATAGTTTTGGGGTCCTTAAGGTAATTAATTAATGTAGGGTTTAATAAACCCTATTATACTATCAACAGTATCCCTGACCCACTGCAGCAAATGAAGCCCAGGGGGTTCCGGCACTAAACCCTAAACCCCTAAAGCCTTAAACCCTAAACCCCAAACCCTAAACACCAAACTCTTAAACCCCAAACCCCAAACTCTCGACCCTAAGCCACCGAAAGCAGAGTCGAGGTCATTTACACCTCAAACACTGCTGCCTTCCTCTTGGGCCTATTTGCCAAATCAGGGTCCCGCTTTAGGTCCCCAATATAGTACGGCACTCTCATAAAGAAACCCTAAAAGGGAGCCTACTTTCGAGAGCTACCCATTTATATACTAACTGAACACCTGGACCCTTCGTGTCCTATAGACCCGTACGGTGGAACTTCTCGGGGGGATTTCGGTGAAGTCCTCTACCTGAACCGTAAACCCTAAACCATCCTAAACTCCAGACTTCTCGGAGGGGTCTGGGTTGGATTTCCTAAATCCTTGAAATACTATACAAGCCCTAAATAATTACCAACATTATATATTACTGTTTGGGTTCCTTATCATATCATTACTATAAAGGAGCCCTAAACCCTGTTCTGATTATTAAGGCCCCTACATTATTTGGGTTCCTTATTATAATCATACCCTCAAGGAGCCCAAAACCCTATTATTATTATTACTATTAGTATTATTATTAGTATTATTATTATTAAGGTGCCTAAAGTACCTGAAGCTTCGCTCGCCAGGACGCTGAACTTCAATGGCCTCGACCAATCTGCACAATTTCCAAGGCCAGGAGTACAGCGTATAGGGCTCTAGGGCAATGGGCTTAGGGTTTGGAGTTTAGGGTTTAGGGTTTAGGGTTTGGGGTTGTTTGGTTTAGGGTTTAGGGTTTGGGGTTTAGGGTGTTTTTTGGAAGCTTGGGTTGTGTTTTGGCTTGGTTCTGGCCAATTACGGCTAAGAGCCCCAGCCCAAGCCCTAAAGTTGCAGAGAACGGTCCTCAACCCCAAAGGAACCTCCTAAACCCCCAAACCCTAGACCCTAAACCCTAAATTCCTAAACCCCTAACCCTAAACCCCCTAAACCCTAAACTCTAAGCCCTAGCCCTCAACCCGAAGACCTACCAAATCCCAACCCGAAGCACAACAGTAACACCGCATAACACCGCACTCTTATCCCCCGAACACATCGCTTGGGTTACCCTTCTCGCTTTGTTTGCTGCTCGGCTCCTTCATAGCAAACACACAGCGTCCAGAAAACGGTATGCCCATGTTGCACCATGATCACGAAATTTTAAGCCCTAAACCCTAAACCCTAAAACCCTAAAGCCCCAAAACCCTAAACCCTGAACCCGTACCCGTAAACCCTAAATCCCTAAACCCTAAACCCCTAAACCCTAAACCCTAAATCCTTAAACCCTTAAACCCTTAAACCCTAAATCCCTAAACCTTAAATCCCTAAACCCCTAAACCCTAAATTCTAAACCCCAGCCCTCAACCCCTAAACCCTAAACCCCTAAACCCCTAAATCCTAAGTTGTAAATCCCTAAACTCCGAAACCCCCAAACCCTAGCCGCCAACCCGAAGACCTCGGCCTCAAATCCCAACCCGAAACCCCAACCTTCTCAAAAACCCTGCACATTCGAACTTTGGGGTTTAGGGTTTAGGGTTTGGGGCTTAGGGTTTGGGGGTTGGGGTTTAGGGTTTAGGGGTTTAGGGGTTTAGAGTTTGGGGTTCAGGGTTTGAGGTTTAGGGTTTGAGGTTTAGGGTTTAAGGTTTAGGGTTTGGGGTTTAGGGTTTAGGGTTTGGGGTTTAGGGCTTCGGGCTTAGGGCTTAGGCTTGAGGGTTTAGGGTTCAGGGTGTAGGATATAGGGCTACCCATGCACCTCCAATCAGTAGCTGCAAGCCTGTAGGCGGTAGCCATCAATCCATGCCGAACTCACTGTTTCTGTAGGGCTTCGGGTTTTGGATTTAGGTCAGGTTCTGGTCGAGATCCTCATCTCAGTGTATGCATGCATGTAGGTATGCATGCATGTGCATGTATGCATGTATGTATGCGCCCGTCGTTGTGCACAGTTGCCTCTGCTCACTCTTGCGTACACTGTCTCGGTAATCCTTCAAGAACACTCAGATAAGTGTACACCCTGAAGGAAAAGATTAAACCCCAAAGCACTAAAACCAAAAACCCTAAAATCTAAGGCCTAAACACTGAATCCAAAAAAACCCAAACCCAAAAGCCTAAACCCTAAACTCTAAGCCCTACTAAATCCCAGAAAACCCTAAACCTTTAGACCTAAGGTTCGAAATAGCCCAAAAGCCTTACATACGGCTGATGGACAAAATCCTGCATGACCCTATATACCTAAACTATGGGATTTATGGTACTATACTATATTTGGGTCATGCGGAATTTTGTCCATCAACAGTAGTATGGTCTTTGGGCTCAAAAGCCTTAAAATATGAGTCCTTAGAGCCTCAGGGTATCAGAGAACTTTAAGGATTAATTACAGTCTAAGGTTTAGGGTTTTGGGTTTTGGGTTTTGGGTTTTGGGTTTTGGTTTAGGGTTTAGGGTTTAGGGTTTAGGGTTTAGGGTTTAGGGTATGGGCCCCTAATATGGACCCTTAGGGGATTCTAGGGACCCTTAGAGCCGTAGGGTAGCCCAAACGCGTGGGCTGATGAGATTAGAGTCAACCTAAACCCTAAACCCTAAAAGGGACCCCTAAACCCTAAACCCTAAACCCCGTTAAAGGAACCCTAGTCTAGCTATTCAGGTCCTTACGTTATGCACCCTAAAACCAAAGCCCGAAACCCTTATAGTAGCCCTTGTAGCACCCTTTTAAGGAACCTTTAAAGGAAAGTAAGGCCCCCTAAACCCTAAACCCTAAACCCTAAACCCTAAACCCTACGTTATGCAGGCTGACGTCGGAGATGTCAGAGGACCTCGACTCGGCGAGGCCTTTCGGAACAGAGCTCTCCAAAGGTCCTTTTTAGGGTTTTGGGGCTTGTAAGGTTTAGGGTTTTTAGGGTTTAGGGTTTAGGGTTTAGGGTTTGGGGTTTAGGGTTTAGGGCTTTAGGGTTTAGGGTTTAGGGTTTAGGGTTTGTGGTTTAGGGGTTAGGGTTAGTGGTTTAGGGGTTAGGGTTGGGGTTTAGGGTTTAGGGGTTTTCGGGTTTAGGGTTTAGGGGTTTAGGGGTTTTGGGGTTAGGGTTGGGTTCATCCAAAAATCGTTTGCCCAGAGGCTCCATATTAATATGTGGTACCAGTATGGAATTAGCTCCTTGAAAACTTAATAAGGATAGTCTTTTGGGACTTAATTCCATCATGGTACTATATCTTCAGCCCCTGAGCATGGTACTATATCTTCAGCCCCTGAGTTATAATGCTATCGGGTTCAGGGCTTAGGTTTTAAAGGGGTTGCATTTTCCAGGCGCTTTCACAGTGATAGAGCGGCCTGGCCCCTAAACCCTAAACCATCCTAAACCCTAAACCCTAAAACCCTAAAACCCTAAACCCCTAAACCCTAAACCCCTAAACCCTAAACCCTAAGCAGTGCTTTGGGGACCTGCCGTCTGTTGTTTCAGGGTGAATACAGCTCCGTAATCCGAGAGGGCCTTCAATGACCAGCATGGGGTTCCTTCAAGGGTTCAGGGTTTCGGATTTAGGGTTTTGGGTTTTGGGTTTAAGGTTTAGGGTTTCGGGTTTAGGTTTCAGGGTTTAGGGTTTAGGGTTTCTCCAAAGGGCTTCTTTAAGGTTGCTATGAGAGTGCTCAAGGGGTTAAGGTTTAGGGCTGTAGGATAGGGCTTGGGCGGGCTGTTGAAATGTACTATAGGGGCTATAAGGGGATACTCTTGCGAATTATGCAGGCCCCTCTAGTACGGTTCCGGCTTCCCAGCTGTACAGGTCTGGCATTTTCGGTTCCCCGCATGAAAGTGATTTATGAGATGTTTGGACGGGCGTGCTACAAGCTGTCTGATAACACCGCCGCCGCGCTATTCAGTCCCAAGAGCTCCGACTATGTGCTTGATCTAGGCGGCCACATCGGCACGGCTACGCGATGGTTTCTTGAACAGGGAATCTCCGGTGCTGACGTGTATGAGCCGAGTGGCACTTATGAATCATACGTGCCACTCGGCTCATACACGTCACTTATGACACTTTGCAGAAGAACCTGGGAAAGGATGCCCGAGTGACACTGCACCAGCAAAGCGTAGTCCAGGAGACATCGTGGACTACGACTTGCTGGTGCAATGTCACTCGGGCATCCTTTCCCAGGTGGTTGCTTCTTCAAGGCCGATTCTGCTCACGGAGACGCACATAGCGGTTCGGTAGTCATCCGGGCCGGCGGTGAGGCTTTCTACTTTAAGCAGGTCCACAACTACCAGACTTTGGTGATGGCCACAAGCGTCTCTCGCTGGCCACTCGGGTTCCAAGTTCATCCCGCGGCTCAGCGCTCTCCCGGTTGGAGTTTCTGGGACTGCGCTCGGAAGGGAGCTTTGGGGTCGGACAGGTTCGTGTAATGTGTTGTTGGTCCAGGGATTGCAGTCGGAGCGACAGCTTTAGCTAGGCAGAAGAAGTGGGTGAGGGAGGAGAGAGCCACTGCAACCGAGTGTGAAAAGAGTCAGTCTGAGCGGGCTTGGGAAGACCCAGAGTTCCAGGCGCCTCTCATCCAGTTTCACTATCGTGTGCCGGCTCGTCAAAGCTTCCTCGAGCGAGACTGTAGGCACAAGGCGGTTGACGCAGGCCGCCTTGTGCCTGCAGTCTCGCTTGAGGAAGCTTTGACGAGCCGGCACACGATAGTGAAAATGGATGTAGATGGCTCCGAGCTTCATCTTCTTTCCAAGTGTCGAGACTGGAAGAAAACCCGCCTGCTCATTTTTGAATCAACACCGACGAAGATGATGGCTTCATGAGGCTGCTGAAGTTCAACGTGGATGGACATCAAAATCCTGGATTGTCACCTGGTTGCCAGACCCAGCCATCGAGTCATATCCGAATGACGTTGCCGTGGCGCTCTTTTTCAATAGCAGCACAGCGACTTCTGTACAGGTTGACGTTGCCATGTGACAATGCAACCCTTTTCCGAAGAGTTTCGTCGCAGGGTTTTATAGTTTCAGTTGGGGCCATTGGTGATGCAACGATTCGGGCACAAAAGAACATATGCGAATAGATTGCTACGATTAGCAGCGTTCCGGCGACATTGTTGCCTACCATTGCGATCTATTGCGATTTCTGGTAATGGCATTCTTGTTCTTTCCTACTACGACGACGACTACTTACTTCTGTTTCCAACATCTTAGTTCTTCTCGTGAAGATCACTACTCTTGAATGATCAAGCTTTGCTTGGATGTAACCACACCAGTGCTTAATGCTTGTACGCACTACTATGTGTCTAAATTCAACCCTAAACCCTAAACCCCAAACCCTAACACCCTAAACTCTAAACCTTAAACCCCGGCAGCCCTAAGCCCCAACCGTGGAGGTTTCATGCATTGTGGAGTATTGTGGTACATGGAGACCTCTGTGTGTGTGTGTGTCTAGGGTTGTGTTTGTTTTGGGGGTTGGAAGAATGCAGTGGAGGTTCTTTATGCATTGCTGCACGTCTGTCTGGCATTGCTGGTCCTGTGCAGAAGAGCCCTAAACCCTACACTGCTGAATCCTAAACCACCCCAAGCCTAAACCCTAAAAAAACCCTAAACCCTAAGCCCTACAATAACCGTATATCCCAAACTAACTAATAACTCTAAACGCCTTAATTCGACCCCAACAGCTTGCAAGAACAATCCGAAGATGGCAGGCGCGTGTCTCAGACGGAGCCTGCCAATACGCCACGCCACAGTCTGCCGGAGCCCTGAGTACTATAGGGGCCTCAATTAGGGGTGTAGGGTGTTAGGGTCTGGGGTTTAGGGTTTAGGGTCTATAGTAAAGGGGCCTTAATTAATGATTACCTACACAATTTTGCGGGTTCCTTGTTATATTTCTAGTATACTATACCCCAAAACCGTATTGTAATTATTAAGTTCCTTACATTACCCTTGCCTGTTGAGGGTTTCGGACGTGGGGCTTGTACGGGACAAGGTTTAGAGTTTGGTGTAGAAGGGTGTAGGGTTAGGTGTTTAGGGTTTGGGTTTCAGGGTTCAGGGTGTTAGGATTTAGGGTTTGGTAGCGTGGCTGTCGAAAGTGTAAGCGTGCCTGCTGACGTTTTAACAAGAAGCTCCGGCATTGGTTTTGGTTTAGTAGGATTTAGGGAACTTCAGGGTGAATTGCGAGCCCACTGCATTAAATTAGTGAATTGCAGACCCTTAACCCCTAAAGCCTAGGCACTATACTAAAAGCCCTAAAGTCTAGTCTAAATCCTGAAGCTTGAATCCAAACCCTAAACTTTGCAACCTAAAACTAGTGTTTGGGGTTCGAGTGGGGAACTAAAAAGGCACCCCAACATAAACTGTTGGGCGGTACATCCCTACCTTAGTGGCTCCCTTGAAGATAAAACTATCAAATATACCGGCTGTAGGGTTTCTTGTTTTACTGCAGGGCCCAAAGAATCACAAATACTATTTTGGGAGCTTCCTTATTATACTTATAGTATCATGGGCCCCAAAATCTATTTCGAATTAAACCCCAAACCCTAAATCCTGGACCCTAAAACCCAAACCCTATTCCGCCCTAAACCCTAGACCCTAGACCCTAAATTATTACGGCCCCTACATTACCCAGAGGCTCCACATATAGCACCATTATGGAATTAGGTCCCAAAAGACCATCCTTAATAAGGCTTTAGAGACCTAATTCCATAATGGTANNGTACTATATATGGAGCCTCTGGGTACGGCCCCTACATTAGGCGCCTTTTTGAGGGTCCAAGTCTTTGCAGGCGTCGACCCGAGTCTCTGCTCGCAGGATCAGAGGTCTTAGTCAGCAAGGTTTAGGGTTTAGGGTTTAGGGTTTGGGGTTTAGGGTTTAGGGTTTATGGTTTATAGGGGTTTAGGGTTTGGGGTTTG